TTTTTTTTTTTTTTTAGAAATGGGGCCTTGCTCTTACTCAGGCTGGTCTTGAACCTGTGAGCTCAGGCAATCCACCTGCCTCAGCCTCCCAGAGTGTTAGGATTACAGGTGTACTCAACCAGGAAACACATTTTTATAAGAGATTTTTTATTATCTCTCAAATCTCAGGTTGGAAAATACTTAAGCAAACGCTTTTTTTTTACTATAAAGTAGAGGAAATCTCTTTTAAAATGATTAATATTATAAATTTCCTATAAAAAGAACATAATTCAACACATTTTTAAAAGATTCAAGATCATAATGTTTGTTATGTGGGTCTAATGCAGTAATTGTCACCACTTAGTGAAATACAAAGCACACTCTGTTCTTCACTGCACATAGTCCTCAACAATTCTGCCTGCCATTTTTTGTTATCTGTTTTTCGCCTTGCTGCTGACTTAAACTTCTTGCTATTATCAATATCTTGGCCTGTGCCAACCTTTCTTTTCAGTTCTAATGTGTTAGATACTTGGGAATCAGAGATAATTCATCACAAAACAAAGCTCAGGCTTTCATCTGAGAGGGTTTTAGCAAAGAGGCTTCATGAAATCCACTTTGAATATTGAGGGTTTTTTGAGTCTACTGCCTGGTTGTTACTTTGTTTTGTAATAAAGAATTACTACAATTGGCTTTTTCCTGAAAAACAAAGATACAAGAAAATGTAAATGAGAACTTGTAAAATATAAACATTACTTATAAAAAGAACATTGGGCTATTTTCTCAACATTTTGTTCCTTTCTCATAAGTCACTTAGCCTTTTCTTTTCTAAAATATCACAAAATAGGGCTGCACCTGTGGCGCTGGCTGCATATACCAAGAGTGGCAGGTTCTAACCCAGCCCCAGCCAAACTGTAACAAAAAATACCCGGGCTTTGTGGCAGGCACCGGTAGTCCCAGCTACTTGGGAGACTGAGGCAAGAGCATCAACTAAGCCCAAGAGTTGGAGGTTGCTGTAAGCTATGACGCCACGGCACTCTACCAAGGATGACAAAGTCAGACTCTTTCTCAAAAAAAAAAAAAAAAAAAATTAAAATATCACAAAATAAATGTATTTAAATCTTCTTAGTAGAAATTATTAGCCTTTTTGGATTCACACCACCTGACACATAGGAGGCATACTATAAAAGCACACTGAATTGAACTGACATGTTAAATAGAGACCATGTATCTCTTGCCAATAGTTGTGGATGGGAGGGAGAGAAGGGAGAAGAGGGAGAGAGAAAGAGAATGTGTTTCGGGAGGTAAAGTGATAGTTGCATTTTATTTATTTATTTTTTATTAAATCATAGCTGTGTACATTAATACTATCATGGGGTTGCGGTATATGTACAACATGGAATACCATGCAGCCATAAAGAAAGATAGTTGCATTTTAAATGCACATTGCAGGTGATGCTGCTGAAAATGGTTTGCAGACAACCCTGTGGAAACACTGTCCTCTGTAATTCTGTGGGATATGGTACCCAGAAATAAAGAGAGAGCTAAGTTGCAAACTGAGAAGGAAAATTAGAAAACAAGAGTTCAAAAAGCATGAGCAAGATGATAAAGAATTCATGAAAGTCACAGAAGTGCCTGGGGCAGTTAGAAAACATGTTAACTGGCTGAAAACAAGCAGGGCACAGCTGAAGTCAGAAAATGGCCTACAAGATGGAGTTTGAGAAGCTAAATTGAAGCAGTACAGCTGACCTAGTCTGCTTAGCCTTCCCCATATACCTTCCATAACTATTTAGTTAAGGTTTCACCATGACTGTGAGGATGTTTATTTCAAAAGATTTGGGGCGAGGTAGTCACACATGAACAATTCAGTATTGTCATACTGTTAAAGCAAAAGTTTATAAAAAAACAATTTTGATGTTGTTTTCCTTGATGATCCTCTTAGATATTTTGTTAGGGTATAAATAAAGTTATTATTATTATTATATTATTAAGGAGAAAGTTACTTTTACTTTTATTTATTTATTTTTGAGATAGAGTCTTACTATGCTGCCCTGAGTACAGTGCCATGAGATCACAGTTCACAGCAACCTCAAACTCCTGGTGATCCTCTTGCCTCAGACTCCCTAGTAGCTGGAACTATAGGCACCCACCAAGATGTCCCTCTAGTTCTTCCATTTTTAGTAGAGATGGGGTCTCACTCTTGCTCAGGCTAGTCTCGAACTCCTGATCTCAAGCAATCTGTCCACCTTGGCCTCTCAGAGTTCTAGGATTACAGACACAAGCCACACTCCACCTGGACCAAAGGTTACTTTTATGTTGTTTAAACATGTCACACTGTTAGAGTGAAGACCATTCTGATATTGTTTTCCATCAGATAAATTAAATATTCTGTTTGTTTGCTTGTATTTCATTATAAAAATTATTAGAATTGTAACTGAGGCAGAACAGAATTGAGAGACTACTCTTGCTGTTCTCCAGAACTGCTGGCTTTCTGACAATAAAGCTTATTGGACCTAGTCCCCATCTCTGAATTTAGCTCACAGTGACAGGAGGCCAGACCTTCTTCGTTTGGTAACACAGCCACTGCAAACCTTAATGCTGGCATGGAAAATAAAATGTTCAATAAAAAACGTATTAAGAGACTTTTGGGAAATCCATAAAGTCAAAATTGGCTGCATTTAAATTCAACCGGCATAGAGTACAAACAGAAAGAACCATATATTACTTGAAATTAAAAGACCGCATGCTTTGGCTAGTAAATAAGGATCCAAGGTTGAGGATCATAGGACCATGATGGCTGACCTGCACATGAGATTTAAAATAACATGCTGATTATGGCGTAAACCTAGACCTTGATAAATCAATTACTGGGGGTGTACTTGTAATCACCTGCTTGTCCATGAATTTTGGTGTGCCACTTCTGTGCATAAGACTTTTTGCACTATTTCATAAACTAAGCAAGTCTAGAAATAATAGGAAAAATATGTACATCCACAAGCACCAGCCAGGCTAGCACAGTGTTACTCTTTGCATCAAGTACTTAACTACCTTTAAGGAATTACTCCTCTCCAAGAGAACATGTCAGATTCTCCCCACAAGGAAGACTGCACCAGAAACCTAGCCTTGCAAAAAGACTGCTCTTTCCACTTTCTGCTCTTCCATACTCTATTCTCTCCATTCCCCTGGCCACTGCTCTATCGTTTTGTCATAAATTTTCTTCTATAGTTGTGTACCGTCAGCTTCTTCCAGCTTTTGACCTCAGTTCACCTCCATTTACAGTTGTGTCTCTTAGTAACAATAACCACGCAAAGCCGTCTACAGGAGCCATCCTTCTATATGGAATTGCAAGTGACCTATCTGTCATAATTTATCAAGAAGAAATAAAATGTTCCTCTCTTGCTATCCACTCCTCTCACCTTACCCTCATCCCAAGAAGATAATGGTGAATACTCTTAATAAGAAAATTACCTGAAAGCCTTCTGTTTAGGATTTGCCTCAGGGCCATTTTGCCATACTTTCATAGGAGTGATTCAGCTGAAACTATAAACTACTTTCAAGATAATTGTCAGTAGTTAAACCTAACTTACCAGCATAACTTGGCTGATTAACATTTCCACCTTTTTTTATATAATGACGTACAAGATCAACATCATCGTGCAGAGCAGCCTTATACAGTAAGTTTTCCCCAAAAACATTTCTCCGGTTAATGTTAGAAAGAGATATTTTATTCATCTTCCTTTTTTCTGGAATAAGGGAATGAACAAAAGAAAAAAATCCTTATTTGAATATCAATAGAAACTATATACTTAAAGCTATAAACTTCATCCATGTAGATATCAATATTAATTTAATCAACAGTCTAGAAGGTATATTTATTACAAAAGAGTTTTTCATCCATTAATCCAACAATGCTATTTACATATAAAAAGAAAAAAGAGACACCTGTCATTAGTTTAAACATATTTATAGTTCATTATAAATCATGATCACCAGTATATGTTAAATGAAACCCAGGAAAAGTGCATATATGAGAACATGATTTTCTTAAAAAGTTTGGTGAAGGGCTCAGCACCAGCCACATACACCTGAGTTGGCAGGATCGAATCCAGCCCAGGCCCTAAACAACAATGACAGCTGCAACCAAAAAACAGCCGGGCATTGTGGCAGGTGCCTATGGTCCCAGCTACTTGGGAGGCTGAGGCAGGAGAATAACTTGAGCCCAGGAGTTAAAGGTTGCTGTGGGCTGTGATGCCGTGGCACTCTACCCAGGGGGACAGCTTGATGCTCTGTCTCTAAAAAAAAAAAAAGTTTGCAAAAAGGATTATTTACATCTAGAATCATGTACCATCAAATTTGATAAAATATCATAATACCATATCTTCAACCATGAGGAGAAAAATCTCAGAGGCATCTGTAGAAAGCTACAACTAGGCTGAGCTCATGCCTATAGTCCCAGCAACTTGGGAAGCTGAAGCAAGAGGATCACTTGAGTCCAGGAGTCTGATGTACCAGTGAGGTGTGACAATGCCAGTGCTCTCTAGTGGGGTGGAGGAGGGTGAGGAGAGCTGTTACAGAACGAGACTTTTGCCTCAAATAAAAAAGAACAGGGAGGGAGGGAGGGAGGAAGGGAGGGAGGGAAGGAAGGGCAGGCAACTAACTCCAGTGAGTTCAGAAAAAGATTTTCTTTCTTTGCTAAAAATAACTGTATTAACAATAAAAAAAAAGATTCACAGCCTTGATCTGTGTAATAGTTTTGATTTGCTAAGCCAGAAAATGCACAATTAAAATACTTTTCCTTGGGCCGTTGGCTCACACCTGTAATCCTAGCACTTTGGAAGGCCAAGGCAGAGGCAAGGCAGAGGGACTGCTTGAGGCCAGGAGTTCAAGACCAGCCTGATCAACAGGGAGACCCCATCTCTATAAGAAATAGAAAAATTAACTGAGTGTAGGGCACTCGACTATACTCTCAGCTGCTCAGGAAGCTGAGGCAGGAGGGTCATTTGAGCTCAGAAGTTTGACATTACAGTGAGCTGTGATAATGTCCCTGTACTCTAGACTGGGCAATAGAGAAAGACCCTGTCTCAAAAGACAAATAAATAATTTTCCAGATGATGAATACCAAGAATCAGTTCTCCACCCTGTCTCCTAAAACTCTAAAGCATCTCATTTAGGTGAGTATTTTTCCTCAAATTCTGTCAATTTGGGGGACAACGTTCATTTGGATTTTCTGAATTTCAGAACAGCTTTAATGACAGGTTTTCCAATTTTGATCTAGTTAAGCTACCCCATCCTAAAACCACACAAAGGAAACTGAGTACTACACCTGTGCTCTTATTTTGCAGTTTTTGGCTGGGGCTGGGTTTGAACCAGCCACCTCCATTATATGTGGCCAGCGCCCTACTCCTTTGAGCCACAGGTGCCACCCCTACACCTGCATTCTTTATGGACCACAAATTTAAGTACATTGCCTTTTGACTATCACTATTTAGTCCAACTATAAAACAAATCAAATTGCTTAACATTTTAGCCTACCTTGCTACACACTAGATTACAAAGCATTTTTCTCCTACCAAATAAGTTGTATGCTTACCAAGAAGCAGTAGGTTTTATTCCAAATCTGGCTGTGCCAGACACACCTGCCACTGTAATTGATCCTGAGGGAAAGCTTTTATTTAGTCTTTCACATTAAACATAAGAGCTGTATGTTTTTTGCAGATGCCCTTTTTCAGAGGAAGTTCCCCCTCTATTCCTAGTTTGCTGAGTTTTCACCAGGAATAGATGTTAGGTATTGTCAAATGCTTTCTCCGCAACTACTGAGATGATCATTTTTTTTTTAATTTTTAGCTTGCTATTGTAGTGAATTATAGTGATTGGCTTTCAAATATAAGACAAACAAGGTGGCACCTGTGGCTCAGTGAGTAGGGCACCGGCCCTATATATCAAAGGTGGCGGTTTGACCTGGCCCCAGCCAAACTGCAACAACAAAAAAATAGCTGGGCATTGTGGCAGGCGCCTGTAGTCTCAGCTACTCGGGAGGCTGAGGCAGGAGAATCATCTAAGCCCAAGAGCTGGAGGTTGCTGTGAGCTGTGACAGCACAGCACTCTACCAAGGGCGACAAAGATGAGACTGTCTCAAAAAAAAAAAAAAAAAATTAACACAAACTTATATTCCTGGGACAGACACCATCTGGTCATGATTCATTATATAATGTTGAACCTTCTAAATTTTGTTTAGAACTTTTATATCTATGTTCACAAAGGATATTCATCTAGTTTTCTGTCTGTATAATTTCTTTGATTTGGGTATCAGTTTAATGGTGACCTCATTAAAACAATTTGGGAAGTATTTTCTCATCTTCAATTTTTGGAGAAGTTTTTAGAGATCTGATATTATTTCCTCCTTCACTGTATGGTCCAATTCATCACTGGAGGTGTTACAGACCGAATTATATTCTCCCAAAATTTATACATTGAAGTTTTAATTTGATAGAACTAGATTCAACATACACACTCAGTATATTTTTTCCCCCTGTGCACTGCTTGTTCATGTCCCTTACTCACTTTCATTACTTCTCCTTTTCTCCAGTGTTTAAACTTTTAATTCATTATTATTATATATAATATAAAAAGCTATACTTAATGGATACAATGTTATAGGGATCTAATTTTGTATTTTTCACTATTTATTGCTTAGTCCTTCTGACCCCCAATTTGAGATGTCATCTTTATAATAGATCTGTCCCACATTCCTATCATGTCTGGCTTCTACATCTAAACTCGCTATTCTGTTTCCTCAATCTATGTGTCTATTCCTACGCTGTGCCAAATGAATTTAATTTCAGTAGCTTCCTAACATGCTTTATATTACATAGAACAGAATCCTGCCACTCTATCCTCTATTTGCTTTTTATTTTTCAGAATTTTCTTGGCTAGTCATTTTGTAACATTCTCATAGTTATCTTCCAGCCCTATAAAGCAAAACAAAACAGTAACAATTAACAAATTAAGAAAATCTGTTTTTGATTGAGATCTCATGCATTTGTAATTTTAGGGAAAAGTTTTCCACAATGCCAAATCTTTCTTCAAGAACAAGGTTCTTCTTTTTATTTATCTATTTTTTTTTAGACAGAGCCTCAAGCTATCCCCCTGGGCAGAGTGCCATGGCATCACAGCTCACAGCAACCTCCAACTCCCAGGCTCAAGCGAGTCTCCTGCCTCAGCCTCCCAAGTAGCTGGGACTACAGGCGCCCGCCACAATGCCCGGCCATTTTTTTTTTTTTTTTTGGTTGCAGCCATCGTTGTTTGGCGGGCCCGGGCTGGGGATTTGAACCCGCCACCTTAGGTGTATGTGGCTGGCGCCTTAGCCGCTTGAGCCACAGGCGCCGAGCCTTATTTATCTATTTTAATGTGTCAGCAGAAATTTTTAAACTCTCTTCTTATATGTGTATATTTGTTATTGGTTATATAAGTTGATATTTTCTCTCTTTTATACCAATTACAAGTGAAATTATCTCTTATATTTTCTAACAAGTTAATGCTTAAATATATGTGAAAGGTATTAATTTTTGTCTTCAATTTATTAAACTTTTAAAACCTTTTGTTTTAAAATGTCATATCTATAGAAAAGCTGTAAAAATAGAAAAAAGGAGTCATCCTTTATTACATTTTTGTCATGACTTTAAATCATTCCTTTTCCCTCATTATACAAGGTCTGACAATTAAGTTCGTGAATTTGCCTCTGTGCACTTACGTTCCATCATTATACGAATGACTTGGTAAGGTTTCATAACCTTAGTATGTTAGTGTCTCACAGTTGTGGTCACGTGGCAGTCTCTTGCTGGGTGACATTCATTATTGCTGTTGTGTGATTTTGTGTGCTGTCATGATAATGTCAGAGCTTGAATTAAAGCAATGAACAAACATTTGTAAATTTCTTGTTAAACTTGGCAAGAGCAAAGTGAAATCAGGGTCATGTTAGTCTTAGTTTATGGGTATAATGCCATGAAGAAAATGGCAGTATACATATGTGTTAAATGTTTTTCTGAAGGGAGAGAAAGCATCACTGAGGAAGAGAGATCAGTGCAGCCAGTAATGAGCAGAACTGACAAAAGCATCGCAAAAATTCATTGAATTGTGTATCAAAATCGTTGGCTGACTGTGAGAAGCATAATAGACCAAGTAAACATTGATAGAGAAGCACAGAAATCTTTTTTTTTTTTTTAAGACAGAACCTCAAGCTGTCCCCCTGGGTAGAATGCCATGGCATCACAGCTCACAGCAACCTCCAACTCCTGGGCTCAAGTGAGTCTTCTGCCTCTGCCTCCCAAGTAGCTGGGACCACAGGCGTCTGCCACAATGCCTGGCTATTTTTTTTTTGGTTGCAGCCATCATTGTTTGGCCAGCTGGGCTGGATTCAAACCCACCACCTTAGGTGTATATGGCTGGCGCCTTAGCCACTTGAGCCACAGGCATTGAGCCAAGCACAGAAATATTAACTGAAAATCTTTGCATGAGAAAGTTGAGTGCAAAATCAACTCTCAAAAAAACAGTACCAAAGGAGCTCACCAATGAACAAAAGCAGAGGAGAGTCAGAGTTTGCCACGACCTTTGGAAGAGGCAAAATGACGTTTTGGGCCATGTCATCACTGGTGATGAAGCATGGATGTACCAAAATGTTCCTGAAACAAAGCATCAAAATGCAAAATGGAAGTCAACCAATTTCACAATTTCCATCAGTCCAAAGCAAGAGTTAAAATGATGTTGCTAACCTTTTTTGATATCATAGGGACAATTCATTATGAATTTATACCAACTGAACAAAGCAATTGGTTAACCAAATTTAGTTAACAGTTAACTAAGTTTATTATTTGGAAGGGCTGAAAAGACTGCACGATAAAAGTTAGACAAAAATAATCTAAACTTTTCACCAATAACTCATGGCTCTTGCATCATGGCAATACAGCATCTTACATGGCACTGTCTGTGAGGGAGTTTTTAGCCAGTAAAGAAATAACTGTAACATTACATAAACTGGTATCTAATGAAACACCCTCATAACTCACCTGATCTGGCCCCCAGTGACTTTTTCCATTATCCTCAGATAAAGGAAATACTGATGACATCCAGGATGTCAAGGGTAATAGAATAACAAGCTCTGATGGCCATTCCAGAAAAAGAGTCCAAAAATTATTATGAAAAGTGGACTAGGTACTGGCATCAGTGCATAGCTTCCCAAGGGGAGTACTTCAAAGGTGACCATAGTTGATATTCAGCAGTTATGTAGCACTTTTTCTAGGATGAATTTGCAAACTTTAAATTGTCAGACCCCATATATACATACATACATATACACCTAAGCACATAAATACATAAGACTTTTATATTATACATCACGCCCTATTACTCTCTAATACTTAGGTGCATATTTCTAAGAACCAGACCATATACTTACATAACTACAGCATTATTATCAAATCAAGAAAACTTAATGTGACAGTATTATTTATCTATAATCCACATTTCAATTTTGCCAATTTCTCCACTATTATTTTTTAACCAGTGTTTCTAGATTCTCCTACTGTTGCTGAGAGTTTTTTAGTTCAATGTTTTAGATTTAAAAAAATACAGAAATAAGATCTAAGAATAATAATTTTGCCTTGTCCTTTCCTCTTGGTATGCTTTCTTGTAGCCATATGCTAGGTTGGTCACACATATAAGTTTTAAAAGAGTTAGGTAACTACTCTTTCTCTCTGTTTTTGGTTTGTTTGTTTGTTTTTTTGAGACAGAGTCTTACTCTGTTGCCCCATGCTGGAATGTCATGGCCTCAGCCTAACTCACAGAACCTCAAACTCCTGGGTTTAAGGAGATCTTCCTGCCTCAGCCTCCTGCATACCTGAGACTACAGGCACACAGGAAAACACCTGGCTAATTTTTTTTTTTTCTGCTTTTAGTAGAAATGAAGTCTCACTCTTGAACTATACCTTCCAGAGTGCTAGAATTATAGGCACCTAATCCTTGTAACTACTCTCTTCAAAGTATAAACACAGAAAAAATACCAGCCTATGAATCAGGATCAAATCTGTTATGCTAATAATCAGTTACTTGATGCTAGGAAAAATCCTTAACCTCTCCGAACTCCAGTTTTCTCATTAGTAAAATGAGAAAGTTGAGATAGGTAATCTCTGAACCCTTTCTACCAAAATTCTATGTTTCTGTAAATTACTTACAGAAATAGAGAAATACTTAAAATATACCTCACCATTTTTTCTCGTAAGTTTTTTGCTTTTCTTGATCTGTTTCCCACTCTTGAATCTGGATGAATGCACAGTCTTCCTTTTAGGTTCAATCATTAAAGCACGATCCTGCATTCTTGAAAAATAATGTATTCGGAAATTACTATGTTTTCTATAAGCATTCACAGAGAATACCAAATTTTGATTAAAATTTTTTAACTCAAGGCTATTTTACTGAAATGTTCTCAAATGGCATGGCAGTTTTAAATATGAAGATGGCTCCTGAGTAAACTATAGATAATTCTGTGATAGGCATGTCAGTCATTTAGGTTCTAGCCCTTTCTTCATGCCATTTGTGGGTTTTTCTTCTCTAGAGGTAGTTACCTACATGTGTGTAAGTACTCTGAGTCTCCTGCCCCTCAATCCCCAAATTGGTATGCCTAGGGAAAGAGAGGCAGGATCTCTGTTAAGGAAAATGAGCTTGCTGTGTGATATAGCACTGACCAAAAACTACAAAAACAAACAAATAAAAAGAGCAGCAAAATAAAAAATAAAGCATTTGACTTTGGAATAAATGTTTACTGACTCTAATGTCCCCAACCATATAATCATCTAAAAGGTCTGAAGCATACTTACAGAGGGACATAACTTGGTAGCATACCTGAAATTCTTAGTTGAGTTATTATTTGTTAGATCTTCACAGCCAAGGATTTTTGGTACAGTCTTTTCTGGCATCCTAAACATGTCATCTGTGTGCTTTACACCTTGGCTTACTTTCAGTTTTTCCAATCTGGATGATCTCCTTAACACACATGCAGTATCCTGGTCGGAGATATTTTCCACTAAATTGGAATTTCCTTTATTATTTAATGGTTTACATGAGGTGACACTTTGATGAACCAAAGTTTGTGATCTAAATGAATCTGGGTCTTCTAAGACCTGCAAAGATATAAATACATCTGCAAATAATTACAACATAACAAAAAAATAAAAATTAGAAGAAATTAAATTTTACCTTGTCCTTTTGTTTTTGAGACAGAGTCTCACTCTGCCATCTTTGGACAGAATACTGTGGCATCATAGCTCCACAGCAACCTCAAACTATAGAGCTCAAGCGATCCTCTTGCTTCAGCCTCCCAAGTACCTGGGACTACAGGTGTCTGCCACAACATCCGGTAGAGGGTTGCTCTACCTCAGGTTGGTCTTGAACTTCTAAGCTCAGGCAATTCTCACACCTCAGCCTCCCAGAGTACTAGGATTACAAGTGCAGCCATCATGCCCAGCTTATCTTGTCCTTTGATTAAACTATCTCTTATAGAATGAAAGTCTAAGAATTCATAGACATATGTGAACATAATGAAAATTTTTATAATTTAATAAAGGACAATGCAGATTTAAAAGTTTAAGAAGAATATAGATAAAAATGATTTGATCGAAATTTATGCTTAAAATTCAAGGGCAAGACTATGGTCACTCTTGGCACTTTAATTTTACAGGAAATAGGGAACCTAGAATGATGAGAGGCCCATACAGTATTAGAAATATCACACTAGGCCAGATCAAAGGTCTTTTCAGCCTAGTATCTTGTTATCTGATAACAGCAGTTGAATGGTATTTTGTGGAACAGGACAGTATATAACCTCCATCACACTCATTCTAAAAGGTTAATAGTATATCATGAATTGTGCTACCTGTCCCTTAATAATTCATTATAGATTTAACTTCCATGAGGATATTTATTTTTACACATATGCTCTAAACCTTTATTGAACTTATTTACATACGTTTGCAAAGCTTTTTAAGGTAACAAGTTCCATATTTTATTACAGCCAAGTAAGAGTATTTGATTAGATCTATTCTAAATAAGTCTCATTTCTACTTTTAAAAGGGGTTCTTTTTTTTGAGACAGAGCCTCAAGCTATCCCCCTGGGTAGAGTGCCGTGGCTTCACAGCTCACAGCAACCTCTAACTCCTGGGCTCAAGCGAGTCTCCTGCCT